ATACCTACTAGCATCCATGGTTGGATGTGATACATCATATCCAATGGATTGCTTAAACCTAGTCATAAATAATTCATTTAATTATAAAACATAAAAAAGTTATACTTGGTGACATTTAATTTTAAATACATTTAATTCAGAGTGTGTTAAATAGTAATTAGACAAAGATCTTTTTCTATATCACTACAGTGAAACATCTATGTTATCAACCATTTGTTCAACGATGTTATTAAGTGCATTTGGTTGATAACATAGAGGGCCATTCAAATAAATTAAAAGTGAGTTTTCGTGTGTCACGTATACTGAGTTTGCATACTGGTTGACAGGATAGAGGTTGTTATACATAGAAATGCCACAAATTTTGGGCCAAATGTGTTGATATGATAGAGTAGTTGACAACATAGATGTTATTTTAACATTATGTGTATGAAGTCTGGGTTTTGGTTGATAACATAGAGGAGTTGACAGCATAGATGATTGACAGGACAGAGATCTGACTGTACTCATTAAGAGGTGAAGTTTGTATAAAATATTTGCATATAAATTTGCGTTTACTGTACATGTAATTATAAATATTTAGCAATAAATATAAAGAATAAAAAAGCAAATGTCATGTAATTGTATTTAAAAGCTATTAAATAAACAACAGTCAGACATAGTTTGTTATGCATTAAAATTGGTTCATAAAGTTGAAGGATATGTAAGAAACTTAAAGAGCAAAATATAATACGATTGACAATGAAATGAATTCGTAAAACAATTAGCATTTCCTTTCTAATCGATTGCTTGACACAAATCAATCTAACAAATACTTCACTCGTTTATGAGTGCAATAAAACAAAAATTTAAATAACTTTATATTGCATTCGCAAAAATATATGCAAAGCAGACATTAATTATTGTTATTACAAGTATTAAAAGTAAATGCAATGGATTTCATACCGACTTCTTTGCGTTGCATAACAAGCTGTGAAAGAGTCCAACGAAGGCCTCCTTTAATGCAAATCAATATCAAATGAATATCACAAATAAATTAACGATCGGTTTTGATTGCATACCTAATAACGAAGCGCTTAATACTAATAGAAAGCCCTGTATTTGAAATTGAGTTGATTGATAGGTAAACATAAAGAGTCCGCTCGATATCAATGAGACCACAATTATGAGCGAAAACCTCTGCAAACAAGTCACACAAAAAGCCATTAAAACTACGTTTAGTAGACTTTACAAAATGATTCACTCATTCATACCTTCTTTTCGAGATCGAAAAGTATGGCAAACAATAATATAAATACAATACACGAAGATTTGGTCATTGTATACAACGATATGGTTATGAACTCAAAACTCCAGTTCGAGAAACCGATGTCCAGAGCGGAAGCGATTCCAGTGGCCGATAGTTTGCGAACGTTTTCGTCCCACGACAACGATATTCGGCTCATTCCTAACCATTCAAATGGATTCAGTTTAAGACAATCTCATTAATGGTTTCAAATCTCACCCGTTATTGATTTGTATATCAATCGGAGTGTGTATGCGATGACCAGTTTGACGATCATATGACACGTAACCACACTTAACGGGTAATGAAATTTCTGGCCATTTGTAACGACAAATACATTAGTGTTAATGGCATTCAATAAAAGTGATAATTGAGTGATAATTACTTTAATAAACCATTTCTGATAGAAAGTGATACCAATGGAGAAGATATAGTAAATTACAATCAGACCAATGGTTCTGAAGGCAGTGATCATCAGTTTATCATAACTACATAATCGGCAAAACCAGTGACTCTTTCGGGACATTGAACTCATTTTGGACTTCATTTCGGACTTAATATAACAACTATTATAACATTCACTCAATTATTCACACAATTATTAAACACAAAACAAATTCAATATTGAATTCAAACAAAAATAATCAACAAATGATTGTTGTCTTCAAATCAAGTCATTGTGTACTCATTTGCAGACAATTTTTGCGATACTTTCACACCATTTGAGTTCATTATAAGATTAATCGTGTGATTGATATGAATGTTAAAAATGGTAACAATTAATAATAAATGAATTGAATGACGATTAAAGTGGTTGTAAACATGTGTTAAGCAATAGTTGTGCTGTAAATACCAATACGAGACACAAACACAACAGAAAGTAAACACATTTCACACTAAATGTTTCAATATTGCACTTTCCATAGCACTAGCATTGCATTCACACCATTCACACAGCCTTCACAACTATTACCACTCTCTGTCGCTAAACACATACATTAACACCAAGTGTTAATTGTAAATGACGATGGTCATTATGATTGGATCAATGCACAGTGTCATTTACCACTTACAGTTATTCAATACTTACGTTATAACGTGTACCATTAATTTAACAAGATCATTTGATTGCTAATAGTGGTAAAAATTGATTCAAAGTTTTAGTGAGTTTTAAAAACTTTAAAAATTTTATTTAAAATTTAAGCATAAATCCAATAAAAATAGCTGTTTGTAGTAAATGATCACAAATTTAGTTGCTTTCTTATAGGACAACAGAGTCTTCGTCTAACAATGGTTTAAAAGTCATTCCTCCGCAGCCGTCAAATCTATACCGGTAGTAAGCAAGGATTGAAATCATATAAGAATTGGTGTACAAATTGATTATAAGAATAAACTAACTCTAAGACAAAATGATGGTATTGTTGTAGTTGTTTGACTCGATGTGTGACACTTAATAGCGAACACTGAACTGAATTCGTTAAATATTCATAAATAGATTGTTCGACATCTATTGAAACCTATTATACATTATAACCACTTCATTATCACTCAAAGTAGACATCAATACAATCATCACACTTACAGCTGAAGTGCATTCATCCAGAATTGCAAACAACGGCTTATGGTATAAAAGCCTATAAATACAAGTTATGTAATGAAACAATATAACAATGTAAGTGTGTGTAAGAGGACAAAGACATACCGGGCCAATGCTATTCTCTGCTTCTCACCACCACTGAGAACGTCGTGCCAGTCCTGAACCGAATCCAGTGATTCTCTTTCCACTAAATACTCAATTTGCACCTAATTTGGGGACAAAATGTATTTCAATTGATTAACTTTTAGAAGAAACACCAATTCATACGATTCTAAGGAATTCTAGTAAATGGTCGTCAGTTATGGCCTTCCGATGCATGTCTTCGATAGAGTCGGGATATATTATTTGGTCTCTGAATGTTCCTAATGTCATATACGGTCGCTGAGGAATGTAAAACAGTTGGCTATTGCGAGGTTTTATAAGACGGCCGCCGAATAGAGGCCAGAGTTCGCCCAATAATCTAAAGAGCGATGATTTGCCGGAACCGTTGGGTCCCGTTATTATCACATTTTGTCCCATTCTTAGCGTAAAATTAATCGATTGGACGAGAAGTTCGCCGTTTGGAGTGCAAAGGGGAACGTCACGGAACTCTACAATCGGGTTCTTCGGATCGCACACTTGAACCACACCTGAGCCGGCGATTAACGGTCGCGACATCTTCTCACTGGTGATCGATTTCAACGCATTGTTGGGCACATTCTCTATAGTATTAATGAGTTGATTAACTCTTGTAGTGTAAGCTGCGAGTCGTGTGAAGTCACGTCCGGCCATAACGAGCCGTCCAATAGATTCGGCCAATTTAACCATCATTCTGCCCGACTTGTAGTATGTCTCCAATCGGACCGATTGCGAGTGACTGCCGTACCGTCCGGTTAGGAATGGGATCGACAGCGCGAGGTATCCACAAACTGTGGCCAAATATCTGGTCAGTATATTGTCCACGAAATCGATTAGAAATTTAAATCTAGACATTTTTGACAAATGATTTCGCAATCGATTCAATGCGTCCACAAGTGTTTGGCGTTCACTGAAATTAGAAGCAAATCATAGTTTTCAATCAAATACAGAGCATTAGCTATATGTGTGGTATAGCTGACCGGTTATGCCCTTGGTAGAACGCGATTTCCTCGCAATTCGATATAATCTTGTTGTGGACGTATCGGAGCTGTCCCTCCAGAAGGGTCTCCTGGACTGTGAGTTTAGCCATCGGACGTCTGGCGTTCACAAGGATTGGTCCTTCGGGTTAATAATGTGGTTATCATTTGACGATAAAATACATTTGCAAACACAATATGTGGTGAATACCTGCCACTAGTAAGTAGGCAACCATCGCTCCGGGAGTACTGATGCCCGTATACACACTGCTCAGCCTATGGATCAATATGACAATATCCAGAACAGGTTTCGAGACATTGGAGTAGACGTCGACAATAGTGTTGCAGAACTTCTCCACATCATTGGTCAACAATTGGTCGATATTCTGGCACTCGTTGTCCAACACATTCAGTCGATAATAAGTCAATCCATTTGTGTATTTGTTGTAAAGCATTAGTGAAAGACGGTATCGGAGATTGAGTTTCAACTCATTTATGCAATATTTAAGTGTATTGTTAACCAACGCGAAGATAGGCATCGATATTATGAAATCACCTAAAAATGAGACCAATTGTCAGATAAAACATATAGTTTGATGGTTTGCCGAAGAACTCACCCAAATTGGACTTGAGTTTAGAAATGTCTGCCGTAATGATCGCCGCCTCTATTTGTGTGCCATTTTGGATGAGCCAAAGATCACACATTGTCCGCACCACTAGTGTTGTCGCGATTCCTGTCATCACAATAATTATCTGTCAATCGATTCACTTCACGCGTCAATACAATACATACCCATTACATACACGTATTCTTTAGCTCCCAATAACTTCTTGAGTATTGTCTTCAGATGTGACAATAGTTTGGACATTGACTCCATTTTGGTCTTTGTTTTTGTCTTAAAAATAATCGTTAAATTAAATGATGGATTCAATTGAAGACATCGTTGAAGTTATTGTCTTACTTTATCGGTATAAGCGATGCCATTGTTTCCGGAACTGTTGGATCAAATGGTGTTTCAGTGATTCATTCAATAATTTAATTAATAAGTGATTAAATGATTACATTAGCGATGATTTGGTGCGAATGTGGATCAGATTAATGAGCCAAATGGCCAATGAAACCAGTGATGAGCTCAAGACGAGCGCTCGCTTTGTCGACAGTTTGTGTCCATTAGACGATTGGGTCAACAGTTTGGATAGGATTGACATCTTCTCAATCAATCACTTAATAATTATATGAAATCAAAATTAATAAATAATTAAATGCTTTGAAAACTGAAAAAAGAGGACAACTTTGGGAATGACATGAATGTCATGATTGACGACAACAAACATCATATGTTTTCACGATTCACTCAACACTCCATACAATACAATGCAATAACCGGTTATTCATTCATTCATTATGGCTGTAAACATTGTAATGATGGTTAGTTTAACATTGTTAAATTAACAATCAATCATATTTGTCCGTATAATATCAAGTGACCAATATTTATTTACAATCCATTTGACCATGGGCATACTTTATCAATATTATGCTAGCATAGATAGCTAGTTATAAGTTGCATAAGAAGTGAAGTTGTAACAATATTTTAAGTGATTAAGTATACGTATACAAGTTCAAGTAATACAACTTATTAAAAGTGAATTAATTGGAATTAATTTGGAAAGTATGGCTAAAAAATTTTGAATATATAATTATTGCACATCTATTCACTTTTTATTATGTTATATAACATACCTGTCATGTATCATATTTAATAACTTTACATTGAAATACCGGCTTTAAAATACTTTGAGTAGTATTCTTATTCTAACTGTAATAAGAAATTCTTATACGAGCTCATACAGTAGAACCTTATTTTTATAATTATTTAGGAATTAACTTACGAGTTAATTATACTCATAAAAATAGTTAAGTTACTCATAAGAATAAAATTGATTCCATAGTCTCAATTACATCGTTCTTACTTCTTACTTGTTAGATTCACTACTGTATTGTAATGAATGTAACAGTCCCATAGAGTTAGCATTAGCTAAATATGAGAATACATTATACAGACTGTACTGTATTTATGATACGCTAATAAAAAGAACGCTATAATATTTTTAGAAACCCAATTGAATTATAGTAACGTAAAATAGTATAATTATTAATAATAATTTATTATACTATGTTTAGTGAACATTGTTTACCATCAAATTAATGCCCAAATCTTTGTCATCCAAATAGTTATGATTTGAATGATAATAATTGACTAATAATTAATAAAAATTACTTCAATTACTCACCGCTTTCAATGAATATCAGATTTTTCCATTAAGACCACAAGTTGTGACACTTGCGATGCGATCAATGTATCGATCGTTTGCATCGCTTCTCGCGTCCGTCAGTAACAATCCGAAGGATAACTTGTTTCAAAAATTGTTAACTTTATTTATAAGCCAATAATTAAATTGTTTCATCATTTCCTTTTAATTTAATTTTTATTTCACTTATAATAAGTTATAAGCAAAAGGAAAGTGAATTCATTGCAATGGCTCTTCATTTGAGTCGTTATTGAGATAATTATTTTTATACAATTAATATTTTTAATAACAATCTATTTATTAGATGACGCTTTTTATAATAGACTTATATTAAAATCGTGTTATAATTAAAAATTGTCAACATTTGTGTTATATGTATAGACATTTCATTTAAAATATACTCCATCCACAATAAAACATTGTTTTGCTAATTATTGCGAATAATTTAAGGTATTTGTGATAAATATATACAATTTAATGAATAATAATAACATATGAAAACTAAAATGTAATTTATATACAATAAAATCTAAAACTAAAAGTTTGTATTGAATACAAAATCAAACGATTAAAGGAGTTTTGAAGCGATTGTTTATTCACTGCTCGAAACACTGATAGAGTTGTCGTCTTTGTGTCCACTTTCGGAGTTTAACTGTTTGTCAGTTTCGCTCTTTTGATGATTAATAGGTGTGGGAGGGGGTGACAGGATTGGGATCTCCTTATCTCTGCCGCACTTATAGGCCTCAATGAGTTCATCGAGTCGTTCAGGAGTCGGACCCCATTTCAAAAAACCCGAGTCGTTCTGAAGGAAGACAATGAGCGTCCCGTGCGCTGACTTCAAGTTCACGTCGTTTTTGTCGCACACGTGTTGACAACCGTTTCTGTACTCGTGTTCAAACGCCGGGATCACCAGATGTTTGCGCTTGAATTTACTGCTTTCAAGTTTGGTTATCACTTTTGGCACCGGATCTCTCCATTCGGGCACAAACACTATGAATGAGAGCGGTTCGGGAGAGTTGGCCAACAATTTATCGAAATGATCGACCGTTGTTTCCATTAGTTCTTCACAAAATGGAGGATTCACTTCGAATGATCCGCAAACCGGATTGAAGTTGAGTATTGGTCTGTAAATTCATACAAATCATTGTTATTATATAATAAATAATTGTTATGTTATAATAGTAGACAAACCCTCGCGACCCGAAGTAGCCATCGGTGTCGGCGAATGCGGAACAATATTGTCTGAAATAGCAGTTGAGAGGCGACGCAAAGCACTCAAACGTGACGCCAAAGTGTTTCTGAAGAACTGAGAACACCGATAGTGGAAGCGCTCCCTGAGTGGGCGAACTCTCGTTTGTGCCAAACCATGTCTATAACACACAATTTGCATCATTTCTCAATACTACAAACAATTCATCATAAATCATACAAATCAACTAAATATGATTAAAATTAAATCATTTTTGCCATATATTTATAATCAGTACTAATTTTAAAGCTATATTAACTTTTATATTAGCTTTAAATTAATACAGAATATTCTTGTCTTTTATATAAATAGCGTCATTGATTGACAACAATACTATTCAATATACAATATTAAATAGTGAATTATTTATTAATTATAAGTTATAATTTATAACTTAATTAATATTTATAAATTGTGCGAACAATAAGTGATAGATTATCAAAATATTGTTAATTTGTATCTTTTAAAGTGAATGAGAAAACAATATTTACGGTAAAAATAAATGTAAAAATGAGATCAGTTTATAAATCAAAGCACTTTTTATTACTAATTGATTGCATAAAAAAGTTTTTTTAATTTTACAAAAACGATTGAATTGATTGATAATTACTTGATATCTCTTGAGTAGAGACCAAACACGTGACAAAAATAGGTTAAACTTGCGGTCATCGAAACAGTTGTACCGATAGAGTTGTTCCAACTTTTGCAGGTATAGAGTGCTTATACGCAACGAATCGTTTTTATACCTCAGATGTGTTGTGTCCTTATCGGTGAAGATGTGAACGGCGGGCAATTTAGGACACGGATGAGCCAACACTACCGGATAACAATATACCTTTTTCGGGTTCTGAACCCTTAACGGACAGCTCTCTAGAAAGCGATACCAAATCATCGTTTCAATAGTTGTCAACAAATTATATCCCAAATCAAATTCACTAACCTTTGAGTCCGTCTGCGGCCATGATTTCGGTATTCTTTTGATGGCATTTCTTTGCGTATTCACACGACAAGTGATATATTTTGGTACAAATGGCTTCGACGGAGCCTTTGGCGGCTTCGGTGATGTGCGGCTGACACTGCTGTTTGAGGTGAGAGAGCCGCTGCTGGTAGTCCTCGAAAGTGGCGTTCAATGTCTTGCGGATCCATTGGAAGGCGTCCTCAACGTTCCACTTGACAATCTTGCGGCTCTCGGACGACGCGTTTCGCGATTCAATCATCTTTTTGGCCGCTTCCGCGTATTTCGACAATTGCTTTCGCGCTTCGCCCGAGAATTTGGGTTTAAATAGTTTGATGGGAATGTCATTCATTATCTCGTTATACATGGCTCGCGACACCTCCGAGAAGCACTCGCTCGGCATCATTGGATCGCATCCCTTGTCCACCACTTTCCTCTCCATAAGCCAGCGATTGAACGACTCTTTGGGCGCTTCGATGTTCTCTCTGGAGTGACACATCTCGTGGAACTGTTGTCTCAATTTCAAGACCAACGCCGCCCGCAATGACTCCACCTCTGGATGCGAGTGAAATTGAAGGACAGGAGGTCTCTCCCAAATGACACAATTGGTGTGCACTTCCAGATCAAAGGGTCCGCTGAGCACAAGCCGTTTAGCCGGCGGTCCACCGCTTATCGCGTCGTCCATTGAAAGCGATCTCTTATCGCCCGCTCTTTGCGGCCAATGAGAGAAATTGGAGGGAATTGTTGTGGGAGTTGTCGGATCTGTAGGCGTTGGCGGCACTGATGACTGTATGCCCAGCGGATCAGTGATGGGGTCGTATTGACCGCCGATTTGTGGCATTTCCCATAAGGACTCGTTTGAGACCTTATTGTAGAAATAAGGTCTGCCCTCACGCTTACTCCAGAAACATCGCCACCCCTTCTGCAACAGTTCCGGAGGCAAGTCGTGCACCGGATCCGCACTGGAGGTCGACTGCGGCGGCGATAGAAATGGCGCGCTATTTGCCGACAAATGATTGGATGTTTGCATCGATGGCAGAGTCGACGGCAAAGACATTTGTCGAGTCATTTCACTCTTCGGAGGAAAATTGTTGACACTTTTGTCGATAATATCCACACATTTGTGGTTTAGATCTGTTTTAGTTTCGACCGACTCTTTAGAGTCGGTACTAATCATGTGGTCATTGATTGCAGCCATCGATGAGTTAACGGGTGTTGTGGTGAGAGTTGCGGCTCATATGGTGTGGGGTTTGGGACTCATGTCTTGTCACAAGTGTTGGTCGAAGACAACACACGTGCGGTTGTGTTGACTCCAATGCATTCATCGTTCAAAACAACTCAAAACTTCAATAAAGCGCTCAAAACTGTGCGACGAGTAGTGAAGGCGTGAGAACAAAGTGGCGCTAATTGTCTTCAGCACTGGTTTCGGTCCATTGTCTGGCCGTCAAGTGATGGCCAGTCGTGACAATCACTTGTCATTCACTGTATTTATGGTATAATTGTTGTAAACATTGATATTTCGCACAAATCTCTCTCCGCATAGAAATGGCGTCTCGAG